TTGAGTTATCATATTGAAGGATTCGATGGGCAAAAAACAGGAAGCATCAAAAGATGACAGGACTACGCAGAGTCTCTGTACCAAAAAGAATTGGCACCATGGAACTATTCCAAGAAGCCATATGTGATCAAGAGCCAATGGGACTGAAGGAAGAAATCCAAGCTGCCCGGAAAGCATTGGCAAAAAAATAAGGCCCTGGGGTTGATGAAATACCATTTCAGATGTTGCAGCAGCAGATACATCCCTAGACATGCTCACTAGTCTTTGCCACATGCAAGCCAAATCTTGCTGAAGATTATTCAAAAACACAACAGTACATTGACAGCTGTCAGAAATTCAGGTTGGATTTAGAAAAGGCCTTAGTATCATTGCTGATAGATCTTGGCTAAAAGCCAAGAACACCAGAAGGATGTCTATTTGTTTTACTGACTATGCAAAGACTTCTGACTGAGTGGATCACAACAAATTATGACAAACATTGAGAAGAATGGGGAATCCCAGAACACTTAACTGTGCTCATGTGAAGCCTATACCTAGACCAAGAAGCCATTGTTTGAACAGAGCAAGAGAGAACTTCATGATTTAAAATCAAGGAAGGCATGTCTGGTTGTATCCTTCCTCCATACCTACTCAATTATGTTGTTATGCATCATCAAGTCACTTGTGACTCAGTGACTCTTATGTACAACAGCCTTGAACCCTGCTCTATCCTGTGCCAATCTTAATGTTTCTGACACACCTGCCCCCATTACCTCAGTCCCCAAATCAATCCATATGAGAGGCTTCCTCTCTGGCACTGTCCCTTCACCCTCCCAAGCATGATACCCCTCTCCAGTGACTGGTTACTCCTTGCAACATGTCCAACATATGTCAAACAAAGCTTCAGAATCCTTGACTCCAAGGAGCAACCTGCTTGTTTTCCTGGCAGTCCATAGTCTATTCAATACTCTTTTCCAACACCAAAGCCCAAAGGCATCAATTCAGTCATCCCTAGTCATTCTCCAGCGTTCTGACACACAGCAAGTAATTGCAAAGACTATGGCCTGAATCACGTGCACCTTCATTTCCAGACTCACACTGTTGCTCTTCAGTACTCTGGAGTGGTCCCTGAGAGCAGACTTTCCCAACGCAATTCATCTTTTTATTTCCTGGCTGCTGGTACCAAGAGTGATGATTGGGGATCCAAACAAACAAAAGCTGTTAACATCTTTCTCTTTATCATCCATCATGATGCTGCCAATTGGCCCAAGTGTTGAGAATCTTTTGTTTTCTTGATGTTGGGCTTCCATCCATATTGGAGACTACAGTCCTTGACCTTCTGCAGCAAAAACTTCAGGTCCTCAGTTTCAGCAAGTAGGGTTGTGTCATCTGCAAATGCAGATTGTTGATGAGTCTTCCTCCAATCCTGATGCCACATTTCTCCTCATAGCCTCCTGTATGATCTGTTCTGCATATAATTGAAAATGTATGGTGATAGAACACATCCCTGGTCAACACCCTTCCCGATTCTGAACCATGCAGTTTCCTTGCTCTGTTCTGATGACTGCCTCCTGGTCCAAGTAGAGATTTCGCATAAGCACAAATCAAGTGTTTTACGATTCCTCTTCTTCTCAGATTAGCCAGTCTGTTGTGAGCCACACAGTCAAATTCCTTTGCATAATCAATAAAACACAGAAAGACATTCCTCTGGTACTCTGCTTTCAGCCAAGATCCATCTAACATTAGCTATATTATCCCTAGCACCATGGCCTCTTCTAAACCTAGCCTGCACTTGTCGCAGTTCTCTTTGATGTGCTGTTCCAGTCTGAGCAAATTATTCAAGAAGTTGGACTTTTATGATGAAGAATGTGGCATCAGGATAAGAAGATGACTCATCAGTGACCTGTGTTATGAAAATTACACAACTTGTTTGTACTTGCTTAAAGTTAGGACTTAAAGCGCTTGCTGTAGATCAAAGACTACAGCCTTCAACATGGACTACATCTCAACATCAAGAAAACTGAAGTCCTTACCAATAGGAAACATCATGGCATATGGAGAAATGACTGAAATTACCAAGGATTTCATCTTATTTGAATCCACTGTCAACATCCAGGGTAATAGCAGTCAAGAAATCAAAGGATATGTTGCCTTGTGAAGATGTACCATCAAAGACCTAGTCAAAGTGGTCAGTTTAAGGTGCTCCTGATCTTGCTATGCATCTTAAAAGTTGTATGATGAGTAAGGCTGACAGAAATAGCAATGCCTTTGAGTTGCAGTGCTAGAAAAGAATACTGAACGTACCATGGACTGCCAAAAGAACAAACAAATCTCTTGGAGGAAGTGCCACAAGGGTGCTCCTCAAAAACAAGGGTGGTGAAGCTTCACCTACTTTGGGCATGTAGTTAAGAGGGGCCAATATTTGGATAAAGACAGTATGCTTGGAAAATGAGGTCAGTGAAAGGAAGAACCTCAAAACGGACTGACACAGTGTAACAATGGGCTCAAGGATGAGATGGTGAGAATGGTACAGAAGACAGCGAGATTCAGATCCATTGTTCATAAGGTTGCTTAATAACATAATAACAGGGTTGTTTAGTAGCACATGCATGCTCATCATCCAAGATTTTGCCTTTAGAATCCTTAAGCATTGCAACCCAAGGCTTGAGTTTGTTATCCAGCCCTTTCCCTTTTGATTTTCTAACTTCAACAGAAGATGATGAACAATACCCTCTCATGTAATTTACAGCTTCAGAACCTACTGAAGAGTCAGCTGTGAGTCGGTTGACTCAAAGGCAATGAAATAACAACTTTGGTCTCTATACTGTCCTAAGGCATTTGACATAAGTGGGATCCTAAGTGTCCCTTTGTCTCTGACTTAATTTCATTCAACAGGTTTTCGAAGTTCAACCATATTGCAACGTGTATAAAGACACTTTATATGCTCATGGCTGAGCACATGGCTGAGCGAGTCCACTGAACTAAGTATTACATTTTGTTTATGCAATCATCTATCATTGATGGACATCTGGGTTGATTCTAATTCCTTTTTAATTTTTTCCTTGCTGCTTTGCTATATGTTGCTGCTGTTAGTTGCCTTCAAGGTGACTTTGACTGAGGAACCTGTAAATAGCAGATCTGAACCTTGCCCTACCATGTGCTGTTGTTACAATTACTGTGTCAATCTCAGGAAGGGTCTTCCTCTGATTCTCCCTTTCCCAGGATGATTTCTCTCTCCAAGAACTGTCCCTCCTGACAACAAGCCCAAAGTATGGGAGACAAAATTTGGCCTTCTTGTTTCTAAGGAACAAACTTCCTACAAGATTGTTGTTGTTAATGTGCCATCTGGTCACCTGCGAGTCTTAGCAACCCTATGTACAACAGCTTTAAATCCTGCTGTATCCCGTGCCAATCTTATTGTCTCTGACACACCTACCCCCATTACTCCAGTCACTGAATCAATCCATTTCATTGAGGATCTTCCTCTCCTGTGCTGTCCCACCACCCTCCCAAGTATGAAGTTCCTTTTCAAGGACCAGTCCCACCTTGCAACATGTCCAAAGTATATAAGACAAAGTTTCAGAATCCTTGCCTCTAAGGAGCAGCCTGGCCTACCCTCTCCAGGACAAACCTCTTCGTTTTCCTAGCAGTCCATGGTATATTCAATACTTTTCTCCAGAATCACAGCTCAAAGGCATCAATTCTCCCTAGTCATTGTCCAACTTTCCAATTCATAGCAATTGCAAAGATCATGGCCTGGATCAGGCGCATGTTAGTCTACTGAGAGACATCATTGCTCTTTAGTACTTTGGAGAGGTCTCTGACAGCAGACTTTCTCAATGCAATTCGTCTTTTTATTTCCTGGCTACTGGTACCATGAGTGTTGATTGTGGAGCCAAGCAAACTAAAGTTGTTAATATTCTTGATCTCTTCACCATCTATCAGGATTCCTCCAAGATAGGCTTGTTTATTGTTTTGCCATTCTATAGGATATACAGTACTCTTATCCAGCACCAAAATACAAAATTGATTCCTTTTCTCTCATCCTTATCATTGTCCAATTTTCAGATGCAGAGGAGACAACTGAAAAATCCATGAGCTGGATCAGGCACACCTTAGTCCTTTAATAATTTTTTTTACATCTTACTCTTTAGCATGCTGCAGGGTCCTTGAAAAGGTGAAATCTTGGCTAAATCTTTGTGTCCTTTTCTTCTAAGTAAACTTAATTGTTAAAGTGACCCTAGAGAAGTGTCCTGGAGGCTGAAATCAGCATAAACAAAGTGACAGCAACAGTAGTTTCCCATGGGGGAAGGACTAGGCGAGCCCCCAGGAACACCCCACACTGTTCCATCCTCACTAGAGGCCTGGATGAACCACCAGAAACCAGGGTTCAGGGCAGGTCTCAAGGCAGCAGCTTCTCCCTTCCTCCTCCTGGTCTAGAAATCACCCTGAAGAGTAGTAGAGGCAGCTGTGCCAGGGGTCTCGGGAGGACTCGGTGAGGCTACTCCGTCCGCAGCAAGCTCTCTCCCTGGCTCCCATAGCTGGAGGACTGAGTGGCAAGCCCTGCACGATTTGGATTTCTAAAACTGCTCAAAAGCTCTAAATTGGGGAGTGTCCATGCTAACAGCCATGGCCAGAGCTCTGGCTAGACTCAACCTCACAACTCATTTTCACACAAAGACAAGAGGCCAGGAAAGGGTACAGGGATGGAGACACAGAAGGACCCACAAGTTAGCCATAAAGCTGTTCCTCGCAAAGCTCCATCCTCACACTTCTTTTTTTCCTGAGAGCAGACAGCATCCTCTGCTGCTAGGAAAAGGCATTTTATTGGCAGGAGGGGGCAGGGTCTTCATTTAGCAGCTCAGCTGCAGTTCCTCCAACCCCTTCCCACTCCCAGTGTCTTATTTCAGAGGTGCGGACAGGAATCCTTTTATATTAGACAGGTTTGCAGTCTCTTCAGAAACAGGATTGGGCTTCCCCATGGCCACGGGAGCCTGTGGTCACACCTGATCCTCTCAGTCCTAGGCACTGGCATTCAGAGGAGTTTTGTACTTCCCTCTCATCTCCTTGGATAATGGCACCAGGGATGGGCAGGGCACCTGGCCCTCCACCTCACAGATGCACTCCCGCAGGCAGTACTTCCGAGGCCCAAAGTGGGCAGGGTGGGACATCTGCTTCCTGTCCTCCTCCTCTTCTTTCAGGGTTTCTCTGCAGAGAACACACAGCAACAGAGCATGAGCACCACTGCCTGTGGCCATGGAAAAGCAGCAGAGTCTCAGATGAGACATGGGTCCCAAGTGCCTCTGACTGCTCCTCCCTGCCCAAGTCCACTGGCCTGCTGAGGAGGGCTCCCTGCAGAGAAGCAGTGAATGGTCCCTTGGGAAGCACAGCCCAGCTGTTGTAATCCCACCCAGAAACCACAGGACCCAGCACATCACAGCAGGAGTGTCAACTCTCAAAGCCACTCTCAAGGGTGGGACCTACACCTGAATGGACATCACAAAGCAGACAGAGTTCTAAAAATGTCCCTTGTGGCTTCAGAGAATTCTTGGTTTCTCCCTTGTCTCCTTTCATGGAAATAAAAAGGCTGTCCCCTCAGGTGTAAGGCATCATTCAGCTCCAAGCTGAGAGGCCCAAGGAGAGCTGCATCAGCTCTACACAATGTTGGTGCTGTGGCTGCATTTCTGAGGGAGCTACCACTTTCAGAGATGCAAGAACTTCTCGGATGAGAGGCACAGCCTGAGCAGGCCCGAAGCAACAAAGCACACACTCAGAATCTTTCAGGCCACCATTCAGCAAACACCCTCCTTACTCTCCTCAAGCTCCCGCGGCTGAGGTGACCCCAAGAACTCACTCATTCTTCCCCAGGATTTTTCGAATGTGCTCCATGATCTCCTTATTGCTCTTGGTCTCCACATCCACTAGGACCTGCTCCCCAGAATCTGGAAACAAGCAGCTCAGTTTAGGACAAAAGGTGGGACTTGACAGCAAGTAAACCTCAAGTCAGTCATGTGAGATTTGCTTAGTGGCAGAAACATTTCAACAATAGACTTTATCACACACCCCACAAGCTACCCTACCCCTCTTTTTCCCATTTCTTCAGACATAAGCTGACAGAAACCTCAGAGCTGAACAAAGGCATACTTTTAAATTAATTTTAAATAAATTTTTTCTTTTTTACTGTAAGTTTACACATCAATATCATTCTGATGTTTTATAACATTAATTACAGCTGTTGATGTAATTATTTTCTTTTTTTAAAATTTATTATTAATTTGAATGAAAATTTCAAGACTTTGGATTTCTAATCATTCATTGTTGCACTTTTTTCCCCTCCCAACCCTGCCCCCTAGTATACTACCCTCTTGGAAAAGAAGAATTCTTTCATTGTTTTACTATCCCTCCCCCCAGATCCACTCCACTATACAGGCTTCGCTCTGAACTCCTGTCATGGCAAAAATACCTAGTAATTTTCCCTCTTAAACAGTTTTCTCCCTCATCTGTTTCAATGCAGTATACATTACTGAACCCATCTTTCTCAGTCTCTCCCCAACCCCAAGGTCAGTCCTGCTTTTCAATAGTGGCACCATGCAGTATTTGTCCTTTAGTGTGAGATACTTCACTCAGCATAATGTCCTCCAGGCTCACCCATTTTGAATAATATTGCATGAGTTCTTTGTTTTTCAATGCAGCATAGTATTCCATTGTGTGAATATACCACAGCTTCTCTATCCATTCATTTGTTGATGGGCACCTGGGTTGTTTTCCAACTCCTTGCTATTGTGAACAAAGCCACGATAAACATGGGCATGCATATATCTGCTTGGATGTCAGCTATGGTCTCTTTGGGGTATATTCCCAGTAGTGGAATTGCTGGGTCAAATGGTATCTCTATTTGCAACTTTTTGAGAAAGCGCCATACCACCTTCCACAGTGGTTGCACCATTTAACACTCCCACCAACAGTGAAAAAGGGTTCCAGTTTCTCCACAACCTCGCCAGCATTTGTTGCTTGCTGTTCTGTTAAATTTTGCTATTCTGACTGGGGTGAGATGATTATCTCATAGTTGTTTTGTAATTAATTTATTACAGTTGCTGTGGCCCTCAAGCCTGGTTTCAATTGTTTTTGGTCAAACATTCTTTTAAGTGGGAAAGCACTGGTCTGTCCATTTGCTGTACAGAGATAACTTGTGGTTCCTGTGATTGCTGTGATGCCAGATACTGTGACACTGATGTATGAAAAGCCATAATGGTTACCCACGGTGGACAGTGTGTGGTGGTACTCCCCTATTATAACAACCTTGGAAGCAGGAGTGGCATCCACTTCCAAAATAGCTTGCCTCTGGAAACGCTATGAACTCAGAGAAACGATGGAAGTTATACAAGTGTTCAGGTCTTTTGTTGATAGGGTTGCTGTGAGTCATCTACGACTCGATGGCACTTAACAACAAGAACAAAGAGCTCTGTTGGACCAGTGGGTAGAAAGTTATGCTACCACACAAAATGTGGGTGATTTTAATCTGTTGCCCTCAGGCCTGGTTTTAATTGTTTTTGGTCAAACATTCTTCTAAGTGGTACAGCACTGGTGTGTCCATTTGCTGTACAGAGGTAACTCATGGTTGCTGTAATGCTAAACAATGTGACACTGATTTGTGAAATGTGATAATGGTTAACCATGGTGGACAGTGTTTGGTGGAGCTCCCCAATTAAAACAGGCTTAGAAGCAGGAGTGGCATCCACTTCCAAAATAGCTTGCCTCCAGAAACTCTATGAACTTGGGAGAAACAATGAAAGTTATACAAGTGTTCAGGTCTTTTGTTGATAGGGTCACTATGAGTCGTCTATGACTCGACAGCACCTAACAACAATCAAACTCTTACTGTTTACTGTTACTTTCACCCAATTTGCCTATTTGTTAGTTTTGACTCCTCTATCCCTCACTTCCTATGTTGGTTATCCATCCAAGAATAAGTCTGTCTGCATGCAAGTATTTCCTTAGTTTTTCATATTAGTCATTTTATTTCTTAATAATCCTTTTGTGATTGGCTTATCTCACTCAGCTTTTTTTTTAGGGATACATAATGTTCGACCATGTGAATGTACCAGTTTTTTTAGCCCTGCATCCGTTGATGGACACTTGTGTTGTTTCCAACTCTGCTGTTATCAGTAATACTTCAATAGTATGTATGTGAGTATGTCAGTTTGTGTTGCAGCTCTTACTTCTTTAAGATATATGTCTATTAGTGGGATTACTGGATCAAATTGTATTTCTATTGCCAATTTTCTAAAGAAAATGCCCAAACCCAGAGCCATTGTAGCATTTTACATTCCCACAAAGAGTTACTGAGAATTTCACACTGCACAGTCTCACCAGCATCTTTGTGATCTTACTAATACTGCTACTTTTGCTGGGATAAGATGGTATTTTTTTAAAATTTTTATTATTATTATCATTATTAATTTTAATAGACATTTACAGAGGTTTTGGATTTCCATTCATTCATTGCCGCACTTTTCT